TTTTTTCAAATAAAGCCAAGGTAACACTCATTTTACATACAGCACACAGTGGAAATGACATGAATATGGCAGTGAGCAAATGCATAAAGCGCAGCATAATTTGAAATCACGAGTTTAAAGTTTGTCGATTGCGCGTCTCCAGTGAAGCTGAACTCTCCTCCTGTCAGCATTCAATGTCAGCTGTCAGCGCCGTCAAAATAAAAGTCCCGCCTCGAACGCATCGGCCAAACAGGAAAATTTATCGGCCGATGCCGATATTAAAAAAATGCCAAATATCGGCCATGGCGATATATCGGTCGACCACTAAAAATTACTACCGCAAACCTTAGTAAGTCCCATTGCATGCTTCATTTAAATACTGTCCTCTTATAAATTTTGAAAAGGAAAATCCTTTTTTTTTTTTAAGCAAGGTTAGCTGCACAAATAAGTGTCTTTTTCATCGCTAATGTTTCACTGCATTTCTTGAGTAGATCCTGACAATAGGAGGGTTTGTGTTGGCTCAAGCTGTTAATAAATCTGCCCATGAATATTTAAAATGCTTTAAATGTCTACAAAAATGGATCTGTGTGAGTGGTGAATCAAGGTTTTTTCTTTCAGGATTACCTGCACTCTTTGGGGAAGGCCCGTACGGCACAAGTGCAGAAGGATGCTCGTATTGGGGAAGCCATGAACAAAAGAGATGCAGTGATCAGGGTGAGCCATTCCTGAACTCTGTTCCAAATACAGCCTTTTTTCTAAATATCACTGAGTGTTTTTGTTAATGTCTCTCTCATTTCTTTCTTTCTTCTCTCTGTAGGAGGCCAATGCTATACAGGAGAAGGTATCTGCTCAGTACATGAATGAGATCGAGATGGCTAAGGCTCAGAGAGACTACGAGCTGAAGAAGGCTGTCTATGACATTGAGGTCTTCACCAAAAAAGCTGAGTCTGAAATGGCCTATCAGCTCCAGGTAAAACGACAACCAAACCCTATTGGGGACCTTCAACATTGTGAAATAATTTCTTGACTTTCTCAAATGAATCCTTGGGGTTCTTGTATATAATATAATTCTGTCATAATTTACTCCCCTCCTACGTCGTTCCAAACCGGTATGACTTTCTTTATTCTGTGGAACACAAAAAGTCATTTCGGTTCCCATTGACCACCATCGTATGGAAAAAAAATACCATGGAAGTCAACGGAAACCAAAACTGGTCATCAACGAAGTAAAATATCTTTATTGTGTTCTACTATTCCTATAATAGTTATACCGATTTAAGAAACATAACTGTGTGACATGATTTTGTGGGTAAAAATGTTTTTAATTTACTTACGTTTATTCCGTTAATCTGTGTAACTGTTGCATTAGGTGGCAAAGACAAAGCAGCGGATCGAGGAGGAGAAGATGCAGGTGTTGGTGGTGGAGCGCTCGCAGCAAATCATGCTTCAGCAACAGGAGATCACACGCAAGGAGAAAGAGCTGGAGGCCAAAGTCAAGAAACCAGCCGAGGCCGAACGATACCGGCTGGAGAAACTGGCGGAAGCAGAACGGTGAGATGGATGCTTCTTCAATGCTCTCAGCTTCCTGTTTGTTCTAAAACACCATATAACACAGAGGTTGTTTCCCACACAAACATTCACCAATTGTTTTTGTCTTAAAAGTGTGTCATGAAATCATACGGAATTGCAAAAACCAGCTTTGGATAGGAGAAAGTATTTTAAAATGGAAAAATTTGAACCACTCGCCTTTAAAAACATATGCATCTGGCCATTTTGTGCTCTCCAACAGTCTTCAGCTAATCATGGAGGCAGAAGCTGAGGCCGAATCTATCAAAGTAAGTGATCAGCCATCATCTTGGCTATATTCAAAACAAAACGGTTTGTGTTACACATGAACTGTGTCTCTGCAGATGAGAGGAGAGGCCGAAGCATACGCTGTGGAGGCTAAAGGTCGTGCCGAGGCTGAGCAGATGGCTAAGAAGGCTGAGGCCTTCCAGAACTACAAGGAAGGAGCTATGGTGGACATGTTGCTGGAGAAACTGCCACTGGTGAGATGTATTTGTAATGTTGTTGTGTTGGCAATACAGAAAAATATTGCATTGCACTGCAAAAATCTTGCAAGAGATAATCCTGCTGAGAGCAAAAAGCAATTCATTGCAGTTTGAGTTGATGTCTTACACTGATGGTAAATTGTGTTCTTTCTGTCCATTAGATGGCAGAGGAGATAAGTAAGCCCCTGTCAGCTACCAATAAGGTCACCATGGTTTCCAGTGGAGGTTCAGAGATTGGCGCAGCCAAGCTGACAGGTGAAGTGCTTGACATCATGACCAGACTGCCTGAAACCATTGAGAAACTAACTGGGGTCAACATTTCCCAGGTAAAAACAGTATTTCAAACAGTATTGTTTTTGTATTTTAAGTAAATACAGACAATGTTTTCATTCACATGATCATGAATTTATTTTGTTCATCATGTAGTGTGTGCATATTCTCACATGTACAATTAACGTCGAATTTCTCTCTCTCTTTAGGTGGCCCAGACTGGTTGAAGAAATTCTCCAACATGACATTTCTATATGCATGCTTCATTAATCTTGTATATTTTTCTCTTACTCTCACTTTTTCTTCAGGTTCTTTATCATTTAAATGATTCTCTTCTCTATCTTTGACAATGGACCCTTTTCACAAGACTGTGATGACGCGTTTAATGGTCATCAGCATCGTAAACTCGGAAGTTTTTCATATTTGTATTTTTATTTTTATTTTTTATGTATGTACATTTTATAACACTATTCTTTGTATTATATCATTTTTGCATCAAATTACAAAAAAACAGTTAACGCTAATGCGAGGATGTTTCTAATGCAGCATCTATGGGAGGGACGGCAAATTTGACATCGTTCTCTCTCAATTCTTTTCCTTTTATTGAAAGTCATGAAAACACTATCGTGGAGTTTTTCTTTTGCTATTTGAGCAAATGGGAATGCAAAAAATATATTTGTGGTACTCTCCCATTCACTGCTATTCAAGTTAACCCAACTATGACGACTTCCGCTGCTGAGAAACCCGGAAATGTGAAAAGGGTCCATATATTTCTTCTCCTTTTATCTTTCTTATCTTCCACGCTGCATCTCTTTGGTTTTCCCTTTCCCATGTTTCTCTCTCGACTTACACTTCCTGTCTGTCTTGCCATGCTGCCAAAACCCAAAGTGCATTTTAATCTAAAACTCCAGGGAAGAATGCTTTTCTTTATATTTTTAATGCAATCATAAGAAGACAGTGAAGTCCAAGGATCTGTTGAATGCCATTACACACTACAACTACTGACATTTTGAAATGTTACTTTCACCTGTAGGTTTTCTTATAGAGCACTTTTTAATGCTGGTAGTGCACTAAGAGCATTTCGTTATGTTTGAGCTTTCCATTAGGTAAGCTTTTGGAAGCCAAAGTAACATGAAGGGAAACACATTTATAAGGACTGGTGCTGTTGTGTCATTTGTTTCTGTGGGTTGAATAGGATATACTTTCACTTTACCTCAACAGTACATTATAGCTATATTAGTTGGACATAATCGTGTAGGAGTTATAGCAGTTATCTGCTTCAAATTGTACCGCACTCTGAAATCTGAAGATGCTGCCAATAATGTCAGATCTTCATATGTGTGTTTAAGTGTTTATTCAAATGAACAATCAAGTGTCTTTGTGTTATGCAGAATTACAGATCAGTAATTATTTAAAAAGTAACTTATTTATTTCACAATTATCGTTTGAAGGGTTTTTTGTATAGATTAAAGTGTTTTCATGCATGACAGAAGGGTGCGATTTTATACATACACACATATGTCCTTAACAATGTTGATCATGATCATAACCATGTAGTTTACTCTAGGACTAGACAAACAGGGAAACTTGTTACATTTTTAGACAGTTCTGTTCATTAAATATGTCTGAAGGTTGAGTTCTTGTCAAAATAGTTTCAGAGTTGTGTTCCATAAAAAAGTGGGATTTTAGGGAGTTCTAATATATGTTTTGTTCATAATCATACAGTATTTAATACTGGTCACACTACAAATTTCTTTGATTACATCATAAAAATTGTGATGAATGTTCTGTTTTCAAATGTTTAATTGTCAGTACAATATGTTGACTTCATTATGTATAATTCATAGGCACTAATGACAATTTAGATTTAGATTTAATCGATACTAACATGACATTAATGATGTATAAACACTGTTATGGTACTTTATAGATGTTGTGCGTAATGCAAACTGAACTACCACACATTTGTCACTTTTGTATTTGTTTTTACAATCTTCATGTTTAATGGTTTATGACTAATACTTCTGAAGTGGAATGCATCCCTTGAAGGCTAAATATGAAAGCCTGTTCATTTATTATTGGTGGGCAGGTATTAGTTAAGCCTAAACAGTGATTTTTGGATAGATTTAGTATGCCAGGGCATTAGGTAGACCTGCTGTTATGCTGTGTAGGCTATGGCTGCTATGTTAGTGTAATGAAAGAAAAACTGTATTTGTCAATAGATGATTTTTCTACTCTATACAAAGCATCTGTACTATTATGTAAACAAATCACCTATTTTAACAGTTTCAACAATTTCATCCGTTTCAGCATGCATGCAAAGACTAACAAACCAAACCACTGTATTGTCTATCTGTGCTTATGATCACTTAAAGTAACCTCCTACTAAAATAAACGTTTAACTAAACTGCTATTTGTTCAGTCTAAATTAATGAATATAATTTCAACACGTTCCCTGCAGGAGAATGCTAACGCCTAGGAAATGTGAACATGGTAAAGTGCTTTGATAGCCTCAGCTTGGGGCTTTAAGTTTACTGAAACCTATGCAGCCACACTGAATTAGGTTTATTGACGTCCTACCCTATTAAACCCCCTCACTTACCTATTTTGAGGTGCCGGTCATCATGACTCTTTGCTTGACAAACTTGAACTCCACCAATGCATACGATCCAGCTGCCTCACAATCTGCCATCCACCTGACACTACATGGACAAAGACACCAAATTTACAGACTTACATTGTCATTTTGTGAGGGTGAGTACATTATATTTTACTCCAACTTCCTACAATAAAAATATTCTGGGTAAAAGGGGAACTTAATAATTGTTTCCAAGACTTCGCTGGATTATTTACGCAATATGAGGCCTATATTCGTGCATTTGTTCATAATATCAGAGCAGGCACGATGCCGCATATAATTGACATTCAGACGAACAGAACAATTGCTTTTTTACAACATTTAAATATGAAGTTGATATTATATAACTTTAATTATGTATTATATAACTTAAAAATGTATAATTATATATTAATTCATATGAAAAATTATTAAAATGAAAAAATATTGCCAGTTTCTTATATTTTTTTGGCTCCGCCAGCGGAAATAGTTCCAACACACAATTGTTCATTCATTCCTGAATGAACCATTGTTTCGAATGAATCAGTTGAGTAAATGATTCAATCACTCACTCATATTACTTCATTCACGAATGAATCAATGAATGAATCAGATCCCCACAACTAGCCTAATTAGACAGGAAGACACAATAAAATGACTTTTAAAAATACTTTACGATAATTTAAATGCCAGTTTAACCTTTTTCATGAATATATTACAAAAATAGTCATCCAGTAAGTATTGATAAAGACAAGCACTTTCCATTTAAATGAGTGCTGTAATTACGTTCTGAAAGCAGCGCCCTGAGAAGATTAACCATTAATTCAGATGAATCAGAGATTAGATTTATTCCTAAAGTTCATACTATTCAATATCTAATTTATCCAATCATATATGGTAATTTCCATGATAGTGATTTGTCTCTTTTACACCTGGTTTGTTGTCAGTTGTAATCGCTCTCCCACAACGATGGTCGTACAAAAAACCGTTAGTTTGAAATTTTCCAAGTCGATTCATGTGTAATCTGCCAGGTAACTAGCTTCTGATTGGCTGAATACTGTGACGCAAGCTTATTTTGATTGGCCACGTTCATTTTAAAAAAACGATTTCACCATTTTTCTTGGCCTAAATCCCTGAATTTGCAATAAATTACAAAAAAAATCTCAAAGAATGTGCAATTACATCAAATCGGGCCTTTCCATCAGGACATTTTTAGAGGAAAAATATACTATTAAAAAAATAAGCATTCAAAAATTTATATTTTTAACCTCAGAGATTCTCCTAAAATGTCCAAATTAAGTGTCAAACAGCAAATTGTGATTGGACAATATTGCACTAGACAATAACACTATTCTAGATGTTTATCATTTTTTATTGTTCATATTAGGAGAAACAGTTACGTCAAGATGAATGAGTGTTGATCTATACAGCAAAGTCATCTTAAAGAGTAGTTAATAAGTATTAGGAGTGACAGAAGTAACATTAATAATAATATTGAGAACCGTGTTATTTTCCAAAGACATATATGGATACAACAAGGATTATACATGGAGGATCAGCCAATCACTTGGCTGCTTGCTGGACACAGATGGCATCATGTAGGTCAGTGATTGGAGTTTGAGCTTTCCATTAGGTAAGCTTTTGGAAGCCAAAGTAACATGAAGGGAAACACATTTATAAGGACTGGTGCTTGTTGTGTCATTTGTTTCTGTGGGTTGAATAGGATATACTTTCACTTTACCTCAACAGTACATTATAGCTATATTAGTTGGACATAATCGTGTAGGAGTTATAGCAGTTATCTGCTTCAAATTGTACCGCACTCTGAAATCTGAAGATGCTGCCAATAATGTCAGATCTTCATATGTGTGTTTAAGTGTTTATTCAAATGAACAATCAAGTGTCTTTGTGTTATGCAGAATTACAGATCAGTAATTATTTAAAAAGTAACTTATTTATTTCACAATTATCGTTTGAAGGGTTTTTTGTATAGATTAAAGTGTTTTCATGCATGACAGAAGGGTGCGATTTTATACATACACACATATGTCCTTAACAATGTTGATCATGATCATAACCATGTAGTTTACTCTAGGACTAGACAAACAGGGAAACTTGTTACATTTTTAGACAGTTCTGTTCATTAAATATGTCTGAAGGCTGAGTTCTTGTCAAAATAGTTTCAGAGTTGTGTTCCATAAAAAAGTGGGATTTTAGGGAGTTCTAATATATGTTTTGTTCATAATCATACAGTATTTAATACTGGTCACACTACAAATTTCTTTGATTACATCATAAAAATTGTGATGAATGTTCTGTTTTCAAATGTTTAATTGTCAGTACAATATGTTGACTTCATTATGTATAATTCATAGGCACTAATGACAATTTAGATTTAGATTTAATCGATACTAACATGACATTAATGATGTATAAACACTGTTATGGTACTTTATAGATGTTGTGCGTAATGCAAACTGAACTACCACACATTTGTCACTTTTGTATTTGTTTTTACAATCTTCATGTTTAATGGTTTATGACTAATACTTCTGAAGTGGAATGCATCCCTTGAAGGCTAAATATGAAAGCCTGTTCATTTATTATTGGTGGGCAGGTATTAGTTAAGCCTAAACAGTGATTTTTGGATAGATTTAGTATGCCAGGGCATTAGGTAGACCTGCTGTTATGCTGTGTAGGCTATGGCTGCTATGTTAGTGTAATGAAAGAAAAACTGTATTTGTCAATAGATGATTTTTCTACTCTATACAAAGCATCTGTACTATTATGTAAACAAATCACCTATTTTAACAGTTTCAACAATTTCATCCGTTTCAGCATGCATGCAAAGACTAACAAACCAAACCACTGTATTGTCTATCTGTGCTTATGATCACTTAAAGTAACCTCCTACTAAAATAAACGTTTAACTAAACTGCTATTTGTTCAGTCTAAATTAATGAATATAATTTCAACACGTTCCCTGCAGGAGAATGCTAACGCCTAGGAAATGTGAACATGGTAAAGTGCTTTGATAGCCTCAGCTTGGGGCTTTAAGTTTACTGAAACCTATGCAGCCACACTGAATTAGGTTTATTGACGTCCTACCCTATTAAACCCCCTCACTTACCTATTCTGAGGTGCCGGTCATCATGACTCTTTGCTTGACAAACTTGAACTCCACCAATGCATACGATCCAGCTGCCTCACAATCTGCCATCCACCTGACACTACATGGACAAAGACACCAAATTTACAGACTTACATTGTCATTTTGTGAGGGTGAGTACATTATATTTTACTCCAACTTCCTACAATAAAAATATTATGGGTAAAAGGGGAACTTAATAATTGTTTCCAAGACTTCGCTGGATTATTTACGCAATATGAGGCCTATATTCGTGCATTTGTTCATAATATCAGAGCAGGCACGATGCCGCATATAATTGACATTCAGACGAACAGAACAATTGCTTTTTTACAACATTTAAATATGAAGTTGATATTATATAACTTTAATTATGTATTATATAACTTAAAAATGTATAATTATATATTAATTCATATTAAAAATTATTAAAATGAAAAAATATTGCCAGTTTCTTATATTTTTTTGGCTCCGCCAGCGGAAATAGTTCCAACACACAATTGTTCATTCATTCCTGAATGAACCATTGTTTCGAATGAATCAGTTGAGTAAATGATTCAATCACTCACTCATATTACTTCATTCACGAATGAATCAATGAATGAATCAGATCCCCACAACTAGCCTAATTAGACAGGTAAAATGACTAAAATGACTTTTAAAAATACTTTACGATAATTTAAATGCCAATTTAACCTTTTTCATGAAAAAATAGTCAAAATAGTCATCCAGTAAGTATTGATAAAGACAAGCACTTTCCATTTAAATGAGTGCTGTAATTACGTTCTGAAAGCAGCGCCCTGAGAAGATTAACCATTAATTCAGATGAATCAGAGATTAGATTTATTCCTAAAGTTCATACTATTCAATATCTAATTTATCCAATCATATATGGTAATTTCCATGATAGTGATTTGTCTCTTTTACACCTGGTTTGTTGTCAGTTGTAATCGCTCTCCCACAACGATGGTCGTACAAAAAACCGTTAGTTTGAAATTTTCCAAGTCGATTCATGTGTAATCTGCCAGGTAACTAGCTTCTGATTGGCTGAATACTGTGACGCAAGCTTATTTTGATTGGCCACGTTCATTTTAAAAAAACGATTTCACCATTTTTCTTGGCCTAAATCCCTGAATTTGCAATAAATTACAAAAAAAATCTCAAAGAATGTGCAATTACATCAAATCGGGCCTTTCCATCAGGACATTTTTAGAGGAAAAATATACTATTAAAAAAATAAGCATTCAAAAATTTATATTTTTAACCTCAGATTCTCCTAAAATGTCCAAATTAAGTGTCAAACAGCAAATTGTGATTGGACAATATTGCACTAGACAATAACACTATTCTAGATGTTTATCATTTTTTATTGTTCATATTAGGAGAAACAGTTACGTCAAGATGAATGAGTGTTGATCTATACAGCAAAGTCATCTTAAAGAGTAGTTAATAAGTATTAGGAGTGACAGAAGTAACATTAATAATAATATTGAGAACCGTGTTATTTTCCAAAGACATATATGGATACAACAAGGATTATACATGGAGGATCAGCCAATCACTTGGCTGCTTGCTGGACACAGATGGCATCATGTAGGTCAGTGATTGGATGGTTTAGCAATATGTTAACATCCCATACTCTGATCTCTAATGTTGCCTTTACTACATTTTAAAAAAATCATATTTCAGCTGGACCAGAAAGACAATCCTTCCCTTTTTGAATGAACATGTCATCTCTATATATACACACACACAGAGTAACTCCCAATGGATAATGATGATGATAATAATTGCATAAAAAACAAAGTTAATATAACTGGTATTAAAGGTTTTTAAAAAACACTACTGAATAGTACCTGGTAACCAAATTGTCGTCTGTAAAAATTTTTCCCCTCCCTTCCTTTCTGAAAAAAAAAAAGACTTTGTGGAGAGGGTCAAGACAATATAAAATGACTAAACTCTTCAGGTTAAACAAAACAAAACAAAAAACAGAATTTTATAGATGTTTTCACACATTCATCTCCTCCTTTAAATGTTCTCTTACATGCTCTTTCAACCAACCCTTCGCACACTCAAACACATACATACACAAGGACAATAGAAAAATACATATGATAAATGGCTAAAATGTAATGACAAATCAGAAACGAGGAATAAAAAAGTTCATTTAAGTGCCATCTCCCATAAACCATTAGCTTCTGTTTATCCTTCTCCCCATTCTTTAGTGCAGTCTTAGCCACCTCTTTCCAACAGGACTCGGCTGGTAGTGACAAAGCAGTTGCACAATTCCTTGAAATGTCAATCAGCAGGCCTGCAAAGCAGTGTCATAAAAGGCATTAAAACTTCTTAAGAGCTTACAAAGTCAGATTTGGAAGAACATCAGTAATTTAACTTCATTTGGGTAAACTATTGCTTTAAACCTGCTCAAAAGCTGCAGATATGTGCATCTTTCTGTGAAATACTTTGTGATGTAAACTAGTTGCAGTTCTGTACAATTCATTTATGAGATATGTTGGTGGTATTTGTCCATATTTTCTCGTTTACCAGCATTTGTAACATTTATAACTTAGAGAAAAAAGTAAACTTGCTGGTTTTCAAAGCTTGATATAAGCATGAGCTAGTCTTTGTTAGCTGGCATTGGTAACCTTAATCACCCATTTATAAGGCTAGTGTCCATTTTTAGTCAATCTTGCACAATCCCTGCAACAAAATTAACCTTTGTTTTCGTTTCATCTGTTCCTCTTAGTAGTGCTGAAGAAATGTGCCATGTAGAGAAAAAAATATCACTAATGTAAAATCATTTGCTCAATTATCCCTTCTCCTGATAGAAGTCTGAAATGGAATCATTTAAAAATATCATGTGCAAAAACTGAGGGTGATGTATTTATGGGCAAGTTAAGTAGTCGATTATGACATTGTCAGAAATTCTGAGGGAAGTTCACAGATCGCCATTTCAGACTGCCAAATTTAAAATGTAGTTTTTTAAACCATGGTTTTTGCCCACTTTTTCAATGGTCTTGGCTGAAAGGATTTTTCCCATTTATTTTTTCCATGGGGATTTTAACAAGTCTTTGTTGAAGAGTTATAAGCCATGAAGCAAACCAACCAGCTACATGGTGAATCGTGGCATTAGAAACTTTGATTTGAAGCAAAAAAGTATTTAAAAATGGGACAAAAGTACTAAACTGCATACTTAACAGCTTATGCCCTTTGGTGATTTGCACAGATTGGTGGAGATTTCTTTGCAGAATCATGGGTAATGTAGTTTTTCCACAAGGAAGTATGACATTATATTAACATTCTTCAAAATATCTTCTTTGGTGTTTAACATACAGGTTTGGAACTACTTGAGGGAGAATAAATGATGACAAAAGTTTCATTTTTGGGTGAACTGTCCCTTTAACAGCCTTGTAGCTCACAGTTGGTCTGTCTTCAAAGGTTTGTATTTATTAAAAATCAATTCCCCAATGGAGAAAATGAATGGGATGTTTACTTCCGTAACCCGACCGTTGCAATCCATAGTGGCCAAAGGGACAGAATTAGGGCTGGGTATTGTATATTTCAATAGCTGCTAACTGAAAATAGTTACCATGACAGTTTAAGGCCTTTTTTGTGACACTGCAAAGCAAGTCTAAAGAAAGACAACAACTCATAAGAGTTGATGTGCTCCTCCATCTCTCCTTTTCTCCTCAATTTGCAAACCTGCCCTCCCCTCCTGCCAGTCTGTATTTGCAAATCGTCCTCTGTCCCAAGGCAGTGTTTTATTTCCTATCCAATTCATGGTCCGTTTCTCCTCACACCACCTCCTCGCTCTCATTCTCCTCAAGTTCCTCTACGAATTCATGTGCTCCACCTGGATGGCAGAGGTGGAGACGGTGAGGCAGAGGTCTTTGTGGGCCGTCAGGTCGGCCACGGTGACCGGTTTGTACTGGATCTCTCCAACCGACACGGTCTTGTACTGATGCAGGTCGAAAGGGCAGGGTATTCCCTCTGTAACAGAGTAACTGGTTGGCGGGGTGGGGTTGGGTTGGTTCTGCGCTTGGGCCGCCGTTCCCGCTCCGGCCCCCCTGCCTCGCCCGCGACCCCTGCCGCTTCCCACGCCCGAGGGCTGAGCAGGATTCTGGCCCTGCTGGGCTTGCTGGGCAGCTACTGCGGCTGCTACCGTCAGAGGGTCTGGGTTGTGTTTTCGCATGTGTTTCATCAGGTACGTCTCCTAAAAAATAACAAAAACAGAAAAATGTGTCAACATTAAGTAAGGCTGCATGATGTATAATTTTTCAATCATGATTTCTCTCGATTTATTAGGCAAAATCGCCTGCAATATTTGCCCACTGGTTATTTATCCTGAAGGCACTGCATTTTAATTTGGCATTTGCGTTATCTTAAACTGGTAACAAGCAAGCGGCAACCTTCCGGGCTCTCTCGTGAAACCAACACGGAAGTGACTAAAACTGCAATTCATCGACTGGCCGCTAGAGGCTGGCTCCAAAAGGGAGTCAGTCCCAAAGACTCACCATGTTAAAATGCCCAACTTTACAGCAGAAAAAAATTGTTTACAGCCTGGTACAAAAAGTGGTTTTGGTCTATATAGCTAATTTTGCCCTTCATGACAACTGTGAGGGGGGTGAATATTTTTATAACTCATCCGTTTAAATTCTATTAAGG